GATCCCTTTCAACTTTGCAATAAAATTGTAGGAGAGCAATAGCAAGCATGGAGGATGCAAATTCATCTCTATAGGAAGAACCTGGGCGTAAAGCTTTATCTCTATGACTTCAGATGGCTTCTAATTTGTTTTCTCTTCCCATCTTGCTGGGGCTTCTTTGATTGTTGTTGCTTTTGCCATTCTGGCGATTGCTACTCTTGCTCCAGGTTTTTGGGTGTGTGTTTTTTTGCTTTGAAATTAGACCTCTTTGCCTCTCACACACAACCTCCTTTCCTCTTATCTTCTGGGTTATAAAACACATCAACAGACTTCTCAACTCCAACTGTGCCTTTCCTGGTTCTCTTAACCCTGACACATCCATTCAACCAGCACTTTTCAAAGACTACAGGGGAATAGTCGTGTGCTTTGGGAATAAAATGTTGAAAATATCACAGCCCTGACCTCCATGCTTCTCAAGGTATAAGTGAGCTAAGCAGGCAAACAAAGAATTGCAGTGAAGTATAGTAAGTGCTACACTAGAGATATGAACCACTTAGTTCCTGGTGAGACAAGGTGGATGTGTTGGAAGGGGGTCAAGTTGGGGGCGAATGAAAGCATGTGTGGTTTCCAGCCAGGCTACTCTAATAGGCTGACAGAAGGAGTATTGAGATCACGCGGAAATGGCTTGGACAAGAAGAAGGAGGCCAGCTCTGCCACTAGGATGTATGTAAACACGTTATTTCACATCTCAGCATTTGTTCCCTCCTTTTCAAAAGAAGAAAGTACCATGGAAGGGCAAAGAGCAGAGTTAGAGACCATGAGGCCAAAGAAAAAGTGTCTGAAACCAGAAGGAAGTACTGGAAGTGACTGGGACAATATAGAAGAAAAAAAACAACACAAAAAAACTATTCAATTTTTAGGTTAGCGATGTGCTAGATACTGAAATTTCAAAGGCATACCAGGTCCTATGTTTAAGGAACTCATAGTCTAAGACAAGTCTCATGAGCAGTCTTCAGAATATTCTTCCCCCTGGGTAGATAAATAATGGCATGTTGCACTCCCTCAGGTCTCTGTTTAATTGTCACTTTATCAGAGAGGCTGATCCTGCACACTTGATATAAAATAGCACACACATCACTCCTCCCAACCTTCTATATCCTCCCATTCTGCCTTTTTTTTTAAACTTTTTATTTAAGTATAATATACATAAAGGAAAAGTTCATATTATAAGTGTACAGTCCACTAAATTTTCACAAACTGAATGCACACAAAACTCCAGCATCTAGATCAAGGACCAGCATTAGCAATGTCCAGAAATACCCATCTTGTCCAGTTTCAGAACTTCCCCCATGGATAACCACCATCCTGATTTCTAACAGCATAAATTAGTTTTGCCTGTTTTTGTACTTTACGTAAATGGAATCACACAAACTATACTCTTTTGGAATTGACTTCTTTCACTCAACAGTTTGTGCAGTTCATTCACGTGGTTGTGTATCATTTCATTTTCATTGCTTTATAGTGTTCTGTTATGTGAATGGGACTCTATTTATCTTCTCAATTATTGATAGGCATTCGGGTAGTTTTCAATTTTGAGTTATTAGGAATAAAGCTTTTATGAACATTCCAGTACATGTCTTTGGGTGAACATATGTACACATTTCTGTTGGGTATATACTTTGGGGTGAAATTGCTGGGTCACAGACTTACTTTTTTTTAAGATTTTAAGAAATTATTAAATCTTTCATGTATTAAAAACAGTGTGTATATGTATGCTCATGCTCACAGACTTAGAACTTAAGAGATAGAATATTATTGCCATAGTCCATCCAGGCTGCTATAACAGAGCACAAGAGACAAGGAGGCTTATAAACAACAAACATTTATTCCTCACATTTCTGGAGGCTGGGGAAGTCCAAGCTCAAGGCACCAGCAGATTCAGTGTCTGGTGAGAGCTCACTTTCTGGTTCATAGACTGCCATCTTTTTGCTGTGTCCTTACACGATGGAAGGGGCAAAGAGACCCTAGGGCCTCTTTTATAAGATCATTAATCCCATTCGTTAGGGCTCTATTCTTCTGACCTAAGCACCTCCCGAAAGCCCCCACCTCCAAATACCATCACATTAGGGATTAGGTTTCAATATATGAATTTGAAGGGGGACATAAACATTCAGTCTACAGCAATTATCAGTATTTTTAAACTTTTTGTACTTCTTTTTATCTCATCCCCCTCTCTATCCCAGTAGTAATCATTATTCCAAATTTTATTATTCCCTTGATCTTCTTTATCATTTTGAGATATGTATCCCTGTTGTTTAGATACATATACATATATGTACCTCCCTAAATGATACATTATTTAGTTTTTTATGTTGTTGAACTTGATGTAAGTGGAGCTCTGCTTTATTTTTCTTCATAATGTTTCTCATCAATTAACATTTATTTTCTTATTTATTTATTTATTTATTTATTTATTTATTTATTTATTTATTTATTTATTGTCTGGGTCACCCTCTCCCTCACAGCTCCTTGAAAACAAAACAAAAAATATGTCTTGTTTTTATTCACTATTATGCTTCCAATTCCAAGGAGAGCATCTGGTACTTAGAAGGTGCTCAATGGATATTTGCTGAATGAAAGATTGAGAAACTTTGCTTTCTACATAACTGTGTGATTCAAGCTGTTTGTGAAAATGAAACAATTCTAATGATGGCTGATGAGCATTGTCCTGCTAAGCATTCCTCTGCGTCAAGAAAAATGAGGGCAGGAAATTCAGTAATATTAAATGTAGCTTAAAATAACAGAGAACATAGTTGGCCCATGGAGCAATGGAAAAAGCAACAGCCTAAGCTTCAGCAAACTTAGACTGGAATCTGGCTCTGCCACTTGCCAGCTGTGTTCCTGTGAGCAAGGCTCAACCTCTCTTGAGTTTCCACTTCCTCATCTGCAAAATGGGGATACTATAGGGTAGGTAATGTGAAGGTTAGATGAGTGCATGGATGGAAATGCTCTGAACAGTAAATACATATAAAATGATGCAATAAACTATCATCAATACTAAGGCCAGGGGAGGCTTTGCAAATTGAACATCTCCACAAAACTCTCTCTCTCTACTACATCCTCCTCCAGTTTAAATTTTATATTATAAACATACCTTCCTTTAAAAAGGGTAACTTCTCTAATTAGCTTTCTCCTCAAGCAATAGTACTTAGTTTTATTATATCAAGATTTAACTTACCATTTTAAAGTGTACAATTCAGTTCTTGTTATTACACTCACAAGGTTGTGCAATCATCATCACTATATAATTCCAGAACATTTTCATCACCCCAAAAGAAACCCCATGCCCATTAGCAGCCACTCCCTATTACCCCCTCCTCCCAGCCCCTGGTGACACTAATTTATTTTCTGTCCAGTTTAGACATCTCACATAAAGAGAATCACACAATATGTGTCTGATTTCTTTAACCTGGCATAATGTTTTCAATGTTTATCCGTGCTGTAGCATGTATCAGTACTTAATTCCTTTTTTACAGTGATAACATTCCATTGTATGGATATGTCATTTTTTACTTATCTATTCTTCAGGTTAGGAATAGTTGGGTTGTTTCCATTTGGGTGATATTATAAATTATGCTGCTATAAATATTTGAGAAGTTCTTGTGTGAACATATGTTTTCGATTCTCTCATGTAGGAGTGGAATTGCTAAGTCATACAGTAACTCTATATTTTACTTTTCCAGGAACTACTGATGTTTTTCATATCAGCAGCGCCGTTTTACAATTCCATCAGCAATGTATGAGGCCTCCAATTTCTCTACATCCTCTGCCAACAAGTACTTGTTTTATTTCTAGAATCATCCTTCATTCTACCTACCATCACTGCCTCGGTCACATTAGTATTGCAGCAAGTCTAGAAACTATTTAAATTAAAACACAAAATTCCTATATGACACCCATATATTTAAAAAAATGACTGTTTCTAATTTTTTCCTGGCAGAGAGCATTCAGTGTTGAAGCTGTCTTGCCCAGCGGGGGACTCAATTCATCATCACATGGCTCCTCATAGAATCCCAGGAAGAAACAACGTTTCGGGAACAAATCCTTATCTTAAACAGACAGCTGTCTAGAGTGAGCGGAAGAAGAATATTTAAATAGCTTTTCACAAGCAAGTCACGCTCTTCCTCTTTACTCTCCCGCTTGGTCGCCTTTGTGGGCAGTCTAGCCCGGACAGAAAGCCCTCCCACCCTTCAGCCCTCCCACCCTGCTCCC